AGGTCATCAGTTGGCACTTGTCTCCGGCCACAGAGAGGGGATGGGAGTGGGGTGGGGAGGAGGGCTGCGCCGGAGGATGGGCGGCAGTGAATATGGGAGAGGAGGGGCAAGGGGGGGGGGGCGAGCGCAATGGAAAGGAAGGCGAAGGCAAGAAGGAGAGAGGCCGCCCACGCCGCCGCCCCACGCCGCCGGGCCGGGCCTCGGGCCGAGCGCCTGTCGTGCCCAGGGTAGGCCGGCCGCCTCACTCGCATGCGCGACGGGCCTGCGCCGCAGGCGGCCTGCCAGCCTCCCGCTGCTGGGGCGGATACAAAGTATTCAAAATGGAGTCGAACAAACTTCCTATAATTCCAAGTAAAGAAAAAAAACTGAACAAAACGGAACAAAAGAACTTGTTGGGGTGAAATGAAAAAAAAAAAGAAAAGAAAAGACAAGAAAAAAGTACGACTTGGTCATTCAACGGTAATACAAGTGTGCAAAATTTGCGCACCGAAGTGTGCAAGTTTTGATTTTGCACATTACATGCATGGTGTTTAACTCAAGTTGCAGACTTGCGTGGTGTGTAAATTTTAGACGCGTTGTAAACGTTTAAATTCTGCAAACTTGGACACACACAGTTCTATGCTATCAATAGGAACCATAATATGGTGTGCAGCAGTTATACTTCTCGGAAGTGTCGAAAGTTTAAACATCAAATGACGGATAACCTAGTTAAACACCACAATGCGTCGAGGAAATGCACATGCACATTTGAACTTAAACTTCGATTGACGTGCAAAATTAAACACTTGTTTTACTAGTGTTGAAAGCTACTTCAGTTTTGTGAAATTTCAGAGTGTGTTTTTTTTTAAGGATATTCACACTACTGACTTATCCCTCATCTTCTTTGACCAATTTGATTCTTAATTCTGATTTTCACTTGACTCCCTCAACTAGCAGAGAAGTAACAAACTCCAAACACAACATGATTACAAACTGGGGCCGCACTACGCGAAACTTACCAGGACGGCGTGCATCTTGGCGTCCATCATGTTCTTGAGCTCGACCGTCATGTCACGCACCAGCATGAGCCCGTCCTTGCGGGCCACCTTCACCTCCTTCTCGCGGTACTTCTGCAACAGACAAGAAACACGACGGGCCGTTAGAACTGCAGGCAGCTAGGGCTTGGAAAGGAGGGTATGGGGCAGAGTGAGTCAAAGGAGGAGAGACGCACGGAGCAAAGCAGCGAGGCGGTGGAGGTGTTTTATTCGCAAGGCGTATGTGCGGTTTCACCCCAGAGAGGATGGCAAAGAAGAAACGGGGATAAAAAAAGGGAGAGGATATGGGAGTAGGGTGGGTAGACTGGAGGCGCCACGACGAGAGAGGCAAAAGCCAGCAGGGCGGGGCGCGGCGGGGCAGGAGACGAGTACACCTGGCCCCGTGACTGCGCCAGGCTACGCCCCGCTACGCCCGGCAACGCCCGAGTGCGAGATGGGATATGGGCCGTATAGCCGCGTCCACCCCTCCCCTCTGCCCCCACAACCCTTTGGGGATGGGATGCGGCGTACCGCTGTAAAAATGGAAAGAGGCGGGGCGGACTGTGTGTGTGCGTGTGTGGCGACGTATGCAAGAGCAAATGTCCACGTGTTTGGGTCGGCCGGGCTTCATGCATGCCTATGGTGTGGAAGACAGACGGGCAGACCCGGCCGGCAGACCGAAAGAGGAGAAGGCCGGGCGGGACATAGAAATAGGGAGGAGGGAGAGGGGGGAGGGAGAGAGGGAGGGAGAGAGGGAGGGAGAGAGGAAGGGATGGAGTGAGAGAGGGAGGGAGAGAGGGAGGGAGGGAGTGCACTCTCTCATGAGAGAGGGAGAGAGACAGACAGACAGATAGACAGACAGGCAGATGAAGAGTGAGAGAGCGAGAAAGGGGGAGAGGGGTGGGAGGGACACGGGTATAGAGCATGCAGCGGCACATCGCAGTGAGGGTCGCACCACCATTCATTCACCGGGGCTTCCACGCGGCGGTCACTCATCGGCTCTGCGCACTTATTCCCCCCTCACCCCTTTCATCCCCCCTCCCCTCCTCCCCAGCTCTGCACTCACCGCACCCCTTTCAACCCTTTCATCCTCTCCCCCCCCCCATCCCCTACCCCCTTCGCTAAATCAATTAGGGTGCGCAGGGCCACGCAGGTAGCAGTAAAGGGACACGGCTAGAAGCAGGTGGGTCGGCCGGCGCCGTGGCGCGAGGTGGCTCGCGGCTCGCGCGGGGTCGGGCGCGCCTCTCAAATATAATAATAAATAAATACGCCGAGTGGGAGCGGCACACTCGGGCCCCGGCAGCGATGCGCGCAGTCCGCACAACCCTGTTTATATATCGCGCACATAATTCAAACGGGGCCCAATCATTTCACGTCCCTCCACTCACCCCTCCCCCCACTTACCGGGGGTGGAGGGAGAGGCAGCACGAGACAGCGGGTGGGACGAGGAGTAAAAATTGAGACAAGGAGCGAGCCAATTAGGGCGCTGACAGGTCATCAGTTGGCACTTGTCTCCGGCCACAGAGAGGGGATGGGAGTGGGGTGGGGAGGAGGGGAGGGCTGCGCCGGAGGATGGGCGGCAGTGAATATGGGAGAGGAGGGGCA